TTATTAAAGTTTAATGCTATCCACTAACTGAAACTTTCTTTCATACTCCACTCTAAGCCTTCATAAATTTCTACAAAAAGCATAACAAAAATAAAGAAATATTACAGTATTAAGTTCTGGTTTACCTAAACCAATAAAACTAAATAAAACAAATAATAAAAAAAGAAAAACAAAAAAAAAGAAAACAAAGATAGCACTATTAAACCTATGCAGGATTGTAAAAATTATATAGTACTACAAATAAACTAGATTAAATTTTACATTAGTTATTTATATCTATATCCAGGATATAAAAATATCAAAAACTATTCGGTCTTGAAGTAGAGCTCTAAGGGTCAAAACTTTTAATTGCTATCTCAAACCTATCAACATGTTTTTTGCAATGTTTTAAACATTATCACGTTATCTTATACTATAATTCAAAATAAACATATACAGTCAACTCTCTCTAAATGCATGTTCTCTAAATGCATATTCTCTCTAAATGCAGGTTTAAATTTGGGGTCCACATATATATTTAATCTCTATAAATGCATTTTTCTTAATTGTTCTTTTAATGCATATTGCTAAAAGTTTGGTTCCAATGCAATGCATTTAGAGGGAGTCGACTATATATGTATATGAGTTTTTCTTTTTCGACAGTAATTGTTGTTGATTTTTTGATGAAAATATACTATTTTTTTCACTTTTTGAAGAAATTTATGAAGGCTTAGAGTGGAGTATGAAAGAAAGTTTCAGTTAGTGGATAGCATTAAACTTTAATAAAAAACATATTGAAAACATACCTATTGTTTCTTATTGTTTTTTTTTTTTTTTTTTTTCCTCTCGCAATGTCGCGAACAGACGAATTTTTATTAGGTATTTATATAGTACATTTACTATGACCTACAATTACACCAGCCCATAACCTTGTGCTGCTACATTTAAAGACCACCCAGATCGACATGTGCTACACTACTTGTGCCCTAATTTTGTAGATAACCTAGTAGGGTTCTCATACTTACCAGGTTACCCTAGAGAGGGTGTAGTATATACACCCCTAATCTTTCTATGTTTCACACATTTCCAGACTAGGCCTTTTCGGTAACTTATGCCGAGTCTGAGAACAAGTACTTGCGAGCTGAAGCCACTACAGTTACCTACTACTGCCCTTGTAGAGTTCGCTCAAACCCCGGTACCTACTTTACGGACTCCCTCCCATACCTCTAGAAACCCAAACTCCCAATCCTACAGCCCGGAAGGGCGGACCCTTCCTCTGTTTTTTCCCGTCGGCCTGGTTGGTTACTTATTGTTTTTCTTAGACCAACTATCTTTAACTTTGTTAGCAGAAGCAGAGCTTTTATTAAAATTTTCTATACAATGGCACCATCTTCTTGTCAGTTATCTTGTACAAGAATGTTTTTAACTTGCATGCTAAATATATAGAGGAGTCTAGAAAAAAAAAGAAAACCTTAACCTCTATAAAAACTGTTATTTGTAGTTGTTTCTTCTACTTTTCTCCAACAAGTTTTTGTTTTTGTTAGCTATAAGTTTGGTATGAGTGATCATCAGGGTAAGTTCTGTTAATTTTTGGTCTGACTGTATTACTATAATAATTATTACTGTATATATAATACTATACAAATAATAATAGTAATATAATTAATAGACAAATCACGACAATAATTATAAAATACACCTATGGTGTTTAACACCAATGGATCACGTGTATAAATATATATATATTTTAATATACATACTGTATATATTTAATTTAATTTAAGTTTAATTATATTTATTGTACTGTGTACGTATAAATTATTTTATACTATATTTGATCTGCGCATCATTTATGTAACAATATATAACACACGTCATTCAATGATCTATCTTTATTTTATTTTTTTTAACTATCGCTTACTGCTTACTAAACTACTATCGCTTATATTTACTAAACTACTATCATTATGAATAACTTAACTTCTTTAAATACTAACAACACTTATAGTGGTAGTTTTATAGACGTTTACACAGATAATACAATACTGTGACTTTTACTGATTTCAACGAACAAGGGACTTCAGAAAGTATTTTCGCCGATTTTAATAAACAACACAACGTAGATAAGGTAGTTGAAGAAATTTTAACAGATTCGAAAGACGAAGGTGAAGAGAAGGTAGTTGACGACATTTTACAGGAATCGAAAGAGGAAGGTGAAGATGCAGAGCCTAAATATTTGATAGCCGTAAATCAGACATTCGATACTTGAGAAGCCATTAATAAGTAAGCGTTTATAAATTTTTTTTTTTTTTCTGCTATATATACAGTGAAATTAATATTTATCTTTAGGTGGTTGGACCTTCATGGTCAAGAAAATGGCTTTGCCTTTTGCAAAACTCATAGTGAAATTGATAAGGATGATAATATATCTAGGCGTCGTGTGTATATGTATACCAAAGGACAGGTATATACGCCATACAAAGAAGCACATACAATTGATGAAAGAGATAGAGGACACAATTCAAATGGTTGCTCTTTTCATGTAAACGTATACAGGTGGAAAAATACTAATTAAATTCGCATTTCAAATATTATTGGTGTACATAACCATGAGATGGTTCGGGATATTACAATGGTTGATTCAAGGTACAGGAGGTTAACCAAAGAAATACAAAGTGATATTAGATTACTTGCATCTTGTGAAGTGAGAGCTGGCTCTATTATTGAGGTTTTACAACAAAAATATCCTAGAAAGTATATTCATACTCATAATGTATACAATATGATACAAACGATCCGTTATAAGAAGCGCATTGTGGGTGATGCAGGTAGTACATATCTGGAATTGATTAAAAAGCAACAAGATGAACCTGGTTACTATGTGGATGCAAAGTTTGAAGGGGTGGACAATCACTTGGTTGGTCTTATGTGGATGAGACCAAGTCAAATACAACTGTGGAGCAGGTTTTACGACATTGTTCTCATGGATACTACCTTTAAAACAAACCGTTACTCAATGATGCTTTGCGTGTTGATAGTTATTGACAATCATAATCATTCACGTATAGTTGCAACTGCAGTCATATCAGATGAAACAAGAGACACTTTTTCGTAGATTTTAGAAAATGTACTCAAAGCAATGAAAGGCTTGGCACCAAAGGTACTATTTACAGATACCGATTGTGCTATGGTTGCTGCTGTAAGCATAATATTACCAAGTACCAAGCATCATTTTTGTCTCTTCCATATTCGTAAAAATCTTGAGAAACGTTTTTTGAGTAAGTATAAAGGGGAAAAGTGGGAAGAATTTTTTAATGACTTTTGTCATACAAGAAACAGTCACGTAGAGTTGATATTTGAAAAATGTTAGGCAGATCTACTTGAAAAGTATCCAGATTCAGCATCTTATTTGGTAAAACAACTTTATCCGTGTCGAGAAGCGTGGGTGCTCTGCTTCACACATAGATTATTTCATGCTGGTGTACAAACCACCCAGAGGGTTAAATCATATAACGGCATCATCAAAAAACACGTTAACAGCTTCTCATCTTTATTTGAGTTGAGCAATACTATTGAAAAGCTACTTATTAAAGAGGATAGATATCAATGCTTCAATGAAGTTGTAGGCTTATTACCAGCAATCTATAATAAAAAATATTACAGTAAATACTTCAAGCTAGTCGATAAATCGTGCCAGAAGTTTCTTACAATAGCAATGCTTAAAATTCAACAGTGTGAAATGGATTATAGTGTTCACTACCGAGCTCAATTAGCTGATTTAACCTATGAACTTGAGAGTCAGATATAATTTTTCCTATGTTCTTAAGTATAGTTTTTGCTGTAGCAAGTTCTCATTTAATAATATAAGAAAACGTCTGGAAATTCAATTATATTTGTACATTTATCATGCTATTTCTTTTAGTTTTTTGTTTGTTTATAGAACTAGGCTAAGTTATTGGGACTTTACTTGTTTGCATGAGTAATATAAGCCATAAAAGAAAATAAGTTAGGTTAAGGATTATGTGAATCTATTTTCTTTTGAGGTTTTTATTACTCGCGCAGAAAAGTAAAATCTGTTGGTCATAATTTGTATAAATGGAATGATTTTTTTGAATCGAAAGCTTATTATTTTTTTTTTATTTCTATACTGTAGACGACTAATGAAATGCCAACTGAAATATTTTCTGACGATATGTTCGATGCATTCGTAATCGAACTTAAAGAACTGATTAGAGACTTAGATCATGCACGTATTTGTGAGATCTGGAAAGTTTCCTCTATTGATATGAAAAGCAGGTATTTTGTAGTGTTATATGATGATGCAATGCATCTTTGTACTTGTTTAATGTTAATCAATCGTGGGGTTGTTTGCCAGCACTTTTTTTTAGTAATGTTGGTGTCAAAAATTGCTAAGTTTCACATCGGGCTTATATCGAATCAATG